ACATAAAAATTTAAATTCAAACTTTTACAAAATTTCTGTGAAATAAACTACTGTTATTTAGACCTCTAGAATTAAGTCGTAGAAATTACAGAAAATATAAAACTGATCAAAACACATATGTGTACTTTAATAAACATTATAAAATGTATTGGAAATGAACCTTATAAGAAATTAAATTAAAACATCTATGAATTAATATGACTTGTTGTCATAATGAGCAAGGGCAGAGTATCAGGATTCTAGTCCTACTTCTTTTTTTTTTTTTTTTTTTTGGTACCAGGAACTGATCTCAGGACCTTGGGCTTGCCAGGCAGGCGCTTATGCCACTGAGCTATATCCCTGGCTCCCCTACTTTCATTTCTTTTTATGAATAGGAGAAACTTAATTTACACGAAGAAGTGATAAGACTAGAAGTTGTCGTTACAGCAAAATCAGTACATTCTTGGGGCTGGCGATTTATCTCAGTGGTACAGCGCCTGCCTGGCAAGCACAAGGTTGTGAGTTCAATTCCTGGTACAGGAAGAGGAAAAAAAAGTCAGTACATTCTTTAAATTTCTTCTGGGTTTTATGCTAAAATAACCATTTAATTGCCTATCAGCAAGTAACATTTTCATAATACCTTGGCAGACAATTAGTTTTGCTTCAAAATTAAAAACTAGAAACGGATTCATTCTAGTTACTCATTTTCTCAATGTATGTGACATATAAAAAAAATACCATAAAAGTTCATCATTTTCTTTCAGTCAGAGCCTCTTGTTTATCAAAGGACACTATAACAACTGGGAAAAAGAAAGTACTGTTAATTTCAAGATGCCTTTGCCATTTAAAAAAAGGTTAAAAGCTTTTATCCTTCACCTGTTTTAAATGTATTTCTGAAACAAAACAAACAAAAACCAAAAAAAAGATATAGTTCAATTAGTTTCAGCTGCCAGGCTAGAGAAATGGCAAAGCCAGTTGTTAGTGACAAGCCTCTTTTTCAGGAAAGTGTGACTACTGGAATGTCAACATTCATTTCAAAATTCTAATCCTGAAATAGAAATAAGCCACAGAGGCTTAGAGGAGCTTGTTGTTCGGGTAAAACAAGGAACTTCTGCCATAAGTGCTTCTCTTTGGCTCTTTTTTGTTTTGCTCTCAACTCAGCAACAATATTCTTTACTAGTACCAATAATAAGGCCATCTAATAAATTTTTATCACTGTGGGAATTTAGAACACTACAACACAGGGTAGTTTTATCCTGAAGCATTACCTTTACCAGACATATGTCTAAATGTAGATGCGGAAAGAGAGATTTTCTATTATGCCCCATTCATGTCCTTATCCCCATAGCTAATCCCTCTCCACACACTCTTGCACATAACACTAGCCTCAAACTATTCCTCCTTGCCCCTTTAAGCAAAGCCAAAATGAGATCCTTTCTCTCCTGAGATCCATTTTTGATCAACTGTTTCCAAAGAGACAAATTCCAGGTGATTCCCTGTATCACCTTTATACAATAGTCACCCTCTTTCCCCAAACCAGAACTCTTTTGGAACCTGCCATGCTAAGTATTTTAAAAGAAAAACATAGTATTTGGTCTCGTTGATTTTCTCCCACATAAGACAGGTAAAGACAGAAAATTCTAACTAGTATCTTAATTAATGGAGGCTTCACTCACATCAAAAATTTGAACTGAGTTATTTTTCTGGACACCTGGGGGATTTTCCACCTTTTCCTTCAGGCCAATATACCATAAAAATACTCGAAAAATATGCTGGGTCATGCCTGTAATCTTAGCACTGTAGAAGAATGAGGCACGATGATCTGAATTCAAGGCCAGCCTGGGCTTGACAGTGAGTTTGAGGCCAGCCTAGACCACAAGGAGATTGTCTCAAAAACCAAAAATGAAAACAAATATACAAAAACGTGAAAATGCCTTTTTTTTTGTTGTTAAAGCAGGACAACCGTGAAGAGGAAGTATGTAGGACAAGAGGTGCATTACTTTGCTACCTTGACAATAGGACCTTTGGCAGGAAGAACAATTTTAGAAGGAAAACACAGAAGTTGTTATGAGAAACTTATTTCTTTAGAACTCAAAGTGCACTTTGGAAACGCGTTTGAAAAGAGCTGGTTTAGTATGCCCTGTGTACAACCTGTAAGGAAAGAAATTACCTTCACTGCTGTTGATCCACAGTTATAGCAGCTACAAAGATCAGAGAGCAAATAGTACAAATAAAAACATTCAAAATGTTCAAAGAAATTAAGTGTTTAAAAAAATATCAGGAGTAACAAGAAACTGCCAGAAATGGCTAGGTCAATTTGAAAACAAAAATGGAACACTCTGAAATAAAAAATAAAAGCAGAAACTCAATAAATGAGTTAAGCAATAGGATCTATGGATGTGAAAATAGGCCTCAGGAAATTACAGAATGCAGCCGTGAGACAGAGTTGAAAAATATAACAGAATTAAGAAACAAGTAAGTTAAAGGGAACACATATAAAACATCTAATCAAAATTGCACAACAGAATAGGAAAAACAAAGAAGCTGCGTTATTTGAAGAGATAATAGTAATCTTCCAGAACTGATGAAAGATATCTACAGAGTGAGGAAATCAAAGTCCCTAAAAAGTACACAAAAAGAAATCAAGACCTAGAAAATGAGAATGTAAATCATAAAGGAAGAGATTGATAAACTGGCTACAGTGGTTACAGGTAAAATTGAGCACTTCTGAATAAAGTCTTCAAAGAGTTAAAATCAAACCTTGAACTGGAAAAAAAAGTAACTGTAAAGCATAAAACAAAGGATAAGTTATCTACATTATGAAGAAGGGACAAACAGTACAATAGGAAAGTGGGAAAAAGCAATAAAAAAGGCATTTTAATAGAGAATCACAATGGTTAATCAACATATGAAAAGATATTGAACCTCACTAAGACTCGGAGAATTGCAAATATCATTCCAATGAGACCCTTTTACATCCACCAGACCGGCAACAATTAAGAGAATAATATCAAATGTGGTCAGTACATTAGTGTTCACTTATGTCTTAAATTCTGCATGTACATTACGCATGCATGTTCTTACATATGTTTCATACCAAAAAATTTATTAAGTGCCAGTTGGACTTTGCAGTACAATGTTTGTTCATATCCTGCGGAGACCAGTTTCAGTGAAATAATGGCACAAGCCAGACTGCAATGGGCTGAGAGGCTCTACAAGGTAAGGCTGTAAAAGCAAGTGCAGATGACTAACTCAAGCTTTTCTATGAGGCTGGGCAAACAGGGCTGTAATTGTAGAGGAAAGTCATGGAGAGAGCTTCTGTTTTTCCTTTCAAAAACTTGCAAAAGATTTTTTAGTTACAGTAAACTGGGACAAGGTTAGAAAGAAATAGCAAGAGGGGCAATAATGACAAAGGACACAAAGGGTCCAAGGCCAGTGACAAATGTACATAACACACAGGCCATTAAAAGGGGTTAGCTGTAGAGGGGAACTAGATACTCTACCTATTATGAGAGATTACTCTTTCATTCTTATATCACTTTCTCACTGGCTTTATCTACTCCACTCACAATTATGTCCTTGTTCCTCCTTCAAGCAGCCTCACAACTTTAAACTTTTATTCCCTCCATAAAGAATACTCTTTCCTGAATGCACATGAAGACTTCCCTTTCACTCCCTTTGTTCAAATGTCAACTTGGCAAAATGTTTTCAGACCACTTTAAAACTGAAAATAACCTCCTCATTCCTATTACCCTCCTGATTCTCCTAATTCCCTTTTCCTGCCGTATTTTCTTCATCACCTTCCAATATTCTATAACACACACACACACACACACACACACACACACACACACACTTTACGGTTTAATCCCCCTGCTTCCATTGTATGTAAGGTCTAGGAATATAGGAACTATAAGTACAATACTATTTGGCACAAGGTAAGAGCTCAGTAAATATGTGCTGAATTAATGGTGCTTAATGAGGAAACTGAAGAATGAATAGAAATAATGCTATTAGGAAAAGCACAGAGCATAAAGAGTGACAAATGAATTAGACCTTAAGTCATGAGGAGATTGGCAGTTGTGGAAAAAGGCAGAAATTCTTGCATACTTGAGAAATGGAGTATATGTGGAGTATGGCATGGATGACAATGACCACATGTTAGCTGACATCATTATGTGTACAACAGAACACATTATATATACGAAGCATCTGGATTCAAAAAATCCCCCTCAAAAGGCTGATAGTATCATCTACAGCAAAGACTGAGTAAGTATAAAAATAAAGTTTACGTAGAAATCACCAGCATCGCTCCCCTAAACGACTACAAAGCAAAGTCTGAATAAGGGTAACCTGTCTTCAATCAGCTCTACATTATATGTGCAGCAATCAAGGCGGAAATACTGCTGTCAAACTTCTCAACTCCAGCTATTATTAAAAGAAGAAAAATTACCCTTGATGAGAAAAAGCAGTCTGGATGCAAAAGAAGGAAAGGTTAGATTCAACTGCTTAGTAGGAGACACTATCCATTTAACTATTGACGACTTTTGGAATGATCCTGCATGCTGTTATAATTAACCTACACATAATCATGTTTTCAAACAAGTCTACCTTCCTTTTATCCACATCACTACTATCTTTGAAGCAGTCAGTTTCGTTTTACTTCCAGGTCAATTACAGTACTAGACTATCCGGGTTATTTGTAGAAACAGAAGGCTCTTAGGTATACAAACACAAGAAACTCTTGGGGGAGTGTGTTCCACAGTCAGAAGCCCGTGCAGTGAGCTCTGGGCATTTAAAGACAAAACGCGAGACGGTGCACTGGTGTTTCGGGGTTTTGCCTTCTAATAAGGACTTAAGTCTGGCTCCCTGAGGGTTGGGACCCAGGCGTTCCCGGGGACCAGAGGTCAAACCTCAGAGCTAAAGCCGGGGGGGCGGGGCAAGCCCCAGGAGCCTAGGGTGGTGTGAGGACCCGGGAGAACAAACGGGTGAGGAAGGGCGGGCGACTCGTAAAGACTCACAGTAATAGGCCACCACAGGGTCCCGCTTGTCATGCTCCTGAGCCGTCCTCAGATGATGCTGAATGCTCTTAAACTGAGGGGGCAGCGGGGGCAGCTGAGCCAGCGCGGCCATCTCCACCATAGGAATCACCACTTCCTATTCACTCCTACAGACACTTCCGCTTCCGTTTGGGCCACTCGGCGCTGCAGCGCTCAGGGTAAATCCCGCCCCTTTGGTTCCTGCTCAGAGTCAAGGCGAGTACGGATGCCCACTAGGGACAATCTTCCAATGTGCTTTTCTCATACTTGTTACTACCCAGAAAGTGCCGACCGCCTTGGGCGATGGTGTTGCATATGGCACCATCGCTCTCTGCTGGTAGGAGGAAGAAGAGTGTTTTGTTTTGTTTTCTTTTTAAAAACAAATATTCTGCCTTGTGGCAAAAGGAAAGAGAAAAAGGGAAAGGCAAAAAAGTAATGTTTACTGACTAGTTTTTGGTATCATTCAGGATTTATCACTTCGTGTCCCTTTCGATTTTAGAAACTTTAATTCTTACATGAGCAGAGAAATTGTGTGTTGAATTTTAAATTAAAAGTGTCTATGCTGACACATTAGCTAAAATAACCAGAATTTTTCTAATTCAAATACTAAACATATGAAGCTTAAAGAAAATTTAATGTTTGCTCTGATGTGACTAGTGTTTATTTTAGTAAATGAACAGTGTATAGATTGCTTATTAGTGGACAATGATTAACAATTTGCAACTTATTTACACTTTCATTATTTAACGTAAAGACAGAGGATTGAAGACTTTATTCAATGCTCCTGACTCATATAATTTCATACTATGCTTTAGCTTTGCCTTCTAGGATTAATGATTTCAACTAATCTGTATCACAAAATGTCATCCATTTGGACTTTACATTTTACCTACTGCTTCTAATAACCTTCACCTTTATTTTATCTCAGTCCCAATTCTGAGGCTTTATCTTAGAGGTACTTTGCACTGAAATCCCATTATATCCAAGAACCCAAATCTTAAGCACTCCGGTTTCTCACTGCATTACTATTTTCTTAACACACCCATTCTCCACACACAAAAATCTCACTCTATGTCTTTACTGTATGCCATTGTACATCCTTTGACTATACTTGTTTACAGTCAATCATCTTATCCTTGGTCTGGCTTTTTACCCAGTACAAAATTAAGTTCTGTATTTTCCCCACACCTCAGAAACACATTCACTACCACTTGAGAAGGGATGCTTGCTTTATCTTTCATGCTCACTATCCTCACTTTTCACTCCTAAATTGCTAGAATGGTAGAGAAACTAAAGAAAAGCAGACTGGGTTACTGTACATTTCTTCTTTCCATCCAATAACATGTTATTTATTATTTTTCTGTTACCTCATGGTTCTCAACTGTGGTTGTCCATAAAGATTTACTTGGAGGCTTTTAAAAAGCATCGTGTTCAGGTCCTATCCCTAGCAATTCTGATTTGTTTTGGGTTGGACCCTAAATATCAGTATTTTTCAAAGGGTCTCATAAAATTTTAGCGGTACATCCAAGGTTGAAGACCAGCTTTACCCACTCTCTTCAAGTGAGGCTTTCCTTTCCAGTTGTCTCCTCAACAAGTACACTTCTTGCCATTGAGATTAAGGCCACTAGCTATGAATTCTTTCACCTTGCCTCTGTCACAGCTCAAGGTAATATCTAGATAGCATTAGCTGAGCATGTACTGTGTATCACACATGTGCTGTGTACCACAGCACATGTGGTACTGATGTGTACTGATTGTACACATCAGTACTGAATGTACTGATTCATTTAATGTCCACTACAACCCATGAAAATGTTATTGTTTTACAGATGAGAGAAATAGAACTCAGAGTTTAGGTAACTTACACAAGATGATAGTGGGCAAGGATGAGTGCCATTAAAATGGTTTCAGAGCCTGCGGATCTAATCATTACTACTTGACTGTGATATGTACCTATTCTTGTATTTTTTTTTCCACTCCATCATTCTGTGTCTGGAAAAGAATTTGTTCCTCTTTGTGGTGAAGGCTGCACATTTCTGTTATTCACTCATTTCTAACTTCAGGACTAGAGGTTGCCTGTCTTTTTCTCATGTGCATATATTTGGAGTTAGGGATGGGGGTGGGGGTGTAAACAAGTAGGTGAAATGGTTAGAAAAGGATTTTACTCCATCTACCAATACCTCCTTCCTTCTTTCTAAGTGCTGTACTTTTTCATGAGAAGATAACTGACATGATGGAGAGAAGTGCAGACATTGTTAGCATAACGGTACATTGAAATTATGCTGTAAAACAAAGTAAATATTGACAGTGGAGTTGGTTTGTGTTGTTTTACAGTGAAATTATTATGTTTTATTATGAAGAAAGACCTAAGGTCTCTTCCATCTAACTCAGACTATTTTCTGAAGGATCTTATATCATTGTTCAGAATGAAGCTGGAACCATGGCAATGAGGGCTGTGCAAAGATGCATAGCAAAATAGAGGGTGGGGTAGCCATACGGAGAAGGAAAGGGAGAGAAACTATAACTAACAGGTGTTTTCATAGAAGTTAAAAAGTTTTGCACCATACCCTGGATTCTGTGTGTATATGTGTTCATCTCAAAGTAACTTTCTATTCCAGTTTGGCCAGAACTAATTTATTAGTAAATGACAGGAAATCAGTCAGTTTAATCAGAATAATAAATATTAGTAGCTATTTTTTTTTTTTTTTTTTGGATATCACATACATGGTACAAATTTGTCTCAGGATCACGACACTCACATCCTGTTAGTACAGCATCCCCTGAAACAGAGATAATTCTTCCTGAAAAATTCCGTTGGAAGAACAATAAGAGACCCTGAAGACTTGTACAGGTCTATTTATTGATGGCTGGGCGAATTGAAATTAAAAGAGTTGCAGTTTATATTTTAAACATGGATATTTACTTGTTTCATGACCTGTGAACTATATAGAATGCTAAAAATAATAAGCTCTTTATGGGCAGAATTCTTTCTGGCCTCTTGGTTGTCCTTGTCCAGTATGCCTGTCCTTGTGCCAGCTCCATACTATTTTGATTAATTTACGTTTAAAGAAATCGTAAGAGTATGTATGAAATGTAGTATAAATCCTATTTTCTTTTGATTTTCTAAAAATGATGTTTGCTACTCTAGGTCTTTTGTATTTCCATATACATTTTAGGAATAGCTTCCCAATTTCTCCAACAATTTGCTGGGATTATACTGAAATTAAGTTTATAAATCACTTTGAAGTTATTCATAGTAACAATGACTAAGGCTTCAAACTATGGGCATTGTTATGGTTTTTATCTAGATGTCCCTCCAAAGTCTCATGCACTCATAGATGGAAATTTTGGAAGGCAACGAAACAAGGGCAAGGGAAAATCAACAACGGAATAACCAAGGAAGGAATTAAAAGTGAAGGGAAAGGTGGGAAGGAAAACCCTGGAAGAAAAAGGGGGGCAACCGCCCCGGGCCGGGAAGTCGCAAAAAAGAAAAAGGAAGGAAAAAAGCCGCCTGCCGGGGCCCCCCCCCCTTTGGTCCTGGTAACTTTGCCGGGGCCCAACGCCAAGAAACGGTGCCCTCCGCCAAGGGCCAACCCGCCCTGGGAACCAACCCAAGAAGGAACGAAACCCCCAAAAAACCGGAACCAAAAAAAACCTTCCCTCCCTAAATATTTTTTGTCTCAGCAGTGACAGAAAAGTAACCAAGACAGTATCAAACTCATTGGCACAACATGTTCAATTATATTTAGAATTATTTTAATGTCCAGGCATGATATCCCCTTTTTCATTTATTATATGGATAATTTTTAATTTTCTCATTAGTATCTCAGTCTAAATGAAAACACAGTAGTTTTACTAAAATCACACTTTAAAAAATACATTTGATTTGTTATCATTGTTTTGTATTCTAGTCCTATTTATTGATTTATATTTTTGCTTGTTTATTTGACTGGGAATTGAACCTAGAGCCTAGTGCTGAGCTATATCCCTACTAGTTTTTCAAATTTTTATTTTAAAACAGAATCTTGCTAGGTTGCTACATTGACCATATTGGGCTTGAACTTTCAGTCTCCTGCCTCAATCTCCCAGAGTACTGAGATAACAGGCATATGCCACCATGTCCAGGGGTCTATTTAATTTACATTTAAATTATTATTTTGCTATTTCTTAAGATAGGAAAACCAAATAATTTTATATGTTTTTCTAAACATAATACAAAGATTTTTTTTCAATATTCTTCCCAAACTGTCTTAATGCTTGTTAAGAGTTTTGATGAATTGTTTGTATTAACAATCTATTTAAAATACTTTTCTGCAGAGCGGCAGTATGTCATAGCCAGTGAGGTTTACCTGAGGCACAATTATTGATACTTATTGCTAATTAAAATACTTCTTAATTTCCATTGTAATTTTCTTTTGATTCATAAATTAATAAAGTGTCTCATTAATTTTTCAAATATTTTGGAATATTCTTGATATTTTATTGGTTTCTAGCTTAATTCCATTGTAATCAGTAAATACATTCTATATGAATTCAGTCCTTGAGAGTTTCTTAAAGAAATCAAATACTCTTGAAAGCAAATGGTCTTTTTGGTGAATGTTCCATATAACACCTGCAAAGAATGTTCATTCTTCTGCCATTTGGGTGGAGTGTTCTATAAATATAAATTAGTTCAAATTACTTACTGCTAATGCTTCCTTTTTGCTTATTTTGTCAAATAGCTACTGAGAAGAAGGATTGGAATGTTTAACCGTAATTTGATTCATTTCTTTTTTCAATCTATTTTTACTTCATGTATTCTGGCGCTCAATAACTGTTGGCAGACGTGTTGTGACCGCTAAACTTCCTGCAGTGGATTAACTAACAGCCACCTTGTAACACCCAGATGAACTGAATCAGCATGGTGCTGGATGTGGAAGGCCCACCTGAGGATTATTGCTAACAGCATAAAAAGAGAACTGGAGGGGAGATGGCCTGCTGTTGATTCTCCTGGAGAAGCCTGTCATGCTGGTTTTCTTGATATGAAGTCATGTGTTATCATGAGAGGAGACCACTGAACATGGCTGTGGTTTTTTTCAGGGGAGCTCTGGTCCTTACCTTGAGCATTGCTTCCTGGCTTCAGTGCAGATCCCTTAGCCTG